GAGGGTTCTCCCACGGCGGGGGGGTCTGAAATGGCCTGTCTTGGAGGCTCCAGGCCCCCTCCCTTTGATTACGAACTCTGGAGTATGGAGGATGGAGGTGGAGGGAGGGACAGGCCCGGCCTGCGGCTGGCCGCGCCCGTGGAGCGCCCGGAGGCCACGCGCGGGGCCCCCGACATATGTGCGGACACACCCCGCGCGTGCCACGGCAGATGGGCAGAGCGGCGGAGAGCCACCACACCCGGCCACGGGCAGCTGTCCAGCCCTCGCCCGGGCCAGCCGCGCCACGTGTACAGCCATCGGCCGGACCTAAGGAACGATGAATAAGGAAGGAAGCTCCGCTTCATCCCAAGAAAATAACGCGTAAGGAGCGATGAATAGCAAGTGACGCAGAAGGAGCTGTACACAACGCGTGCAGGCCTCAGGAACGACCGAGCCCCTGTTGAAAAGCAAGTGTTCCTTATTCAAGCCGCCCACTGTACTCCGCTCCTTGGCACCACTGCTGGGGGAGCCACCACCCAGAGACCCAACGTACAGTGAAAACGTATAGTAAGGAGGCGTGGTAAGGACGCAAGGCCCTTGGAGGCCGAAGTTGAGGTACTCTGGCCTGCGAAAATTGCTAGGGAGGGGCCGCAGAGGCTGAGGCAGGCAAGGACCCAAGGGCACCCTTGAAAAAGTCGTTTGTCCTTACTATGCGCGTTGACTTGATTGAAAAGATCAAGACGGAGTCTTGTCGCAAACTTCGGCCCCCAGGGGGCCTCGCTGGGCCTCGGTTCGTCAGACGACAGCTCAGGATGAAAAACCGATCCTGGGGAATGCGTCGAGACTTCCGGGGACCCCGCATTGAAACAAAATGACGACATCGGATCTCTGGGAAGGTACCGATACCGCTGCTTCATGGAACTCTCCCAGTGTGCGTTCTGACCAGAATTTCGAAGCGAATCCCGCGGTGGCGACGGGGGCCTCCCAGGAGGCCTGAAAGGAAGAAGACGAGGCAAGGGTAACATTAAGTCGGGCCTGTCCCCCTACAGGGGGATTTTGGGTGAAAAATTAAAATTCTCAAAAAATATTCCGAAATGGTCAACAGTAGTCAAGAAATAGTCCCCCGACTATTCTTTGACTGTTTCGAGTTTCCCTCCTGTAGAGGGACCGGCCCGACTTAAGGGCAACAGTATGGGTACCCTTTCCCCCTCCGAACTCTTCCGCGCCGCGCGAGGCCTGCAGGATTCGCCGCGCTCGAGAACAGGGGAGCGGCTCGCGGCGCGGGAGCGACCCGGGCCGGCGCGGCGCGCCGCGAGCCTGCAGCGCGTCCACGCGGATGCACGCGGCGCCCAGGCACTTCCTCGAAGTCGCGCCGCCGGTCGCCGGTCGTCGGTCGCCGCCGTTGTCGGTCGCCGTCGTCGTCGGCGTCGTCGCCGTCGTCCTCGTCGCCGTCGCCGTAGTCCTCGTCGCCGTCGTCGTCGCCGTCGTCGTCGTCGTCGTCGTCGTCCTCGTCGACGTCGTCGTCGACTGCTTCGTTATGTTCGTTATCTGTTTCGTCTTCTTTGTGATGGTATGGTCTGGCGTCTTTCTCGTCGACGCCTGGTTCGTCGTCTTCGTCTGCTTCCTCGACCTCGTTGTGGCCGCCGCCGCCGCCGTTGTCGTCGTTGACGTCGTCATCGTCGTCGTCGTTGTCGTCGTCGCTGTCGTCATCGCCGTCTAGCCCTCGTTTGTTACTGGCCCCTTTTCAGCCGTGCTCTAGCGGGATCGTCCCATCCTCCTCCTCCTCCTCCTCCTCCTCCTCCTCCACCTCCTCGTCACCTCCGAGGGCCCTGGGCCCTCTGGGGCCCAGGGCAGCCCCGCCCCCGCCCCGACGCCCAGTGAGGGAGTGGAGAGCCCAGCTGGCACTCCACCGCCCTCACAGGGCCCTGTGGACCCCCCTCCTTGGCCTCCCGTGGGGCTCGCAGTGTTGATCCAGCGGGCCCGAGCCGAAGGCCACCAGACGGTGCGCCCTCAAGCGGTAGTATTCTGTGGGAAGTGCGCAAGGTACGCCACAAGCCGATGGAGGGGTCTCAGGACCAGCTGTCCAGGGGGAAATCCTCGGGTCCTTGCTGGGCGTTTGAACCGTTTGTGGCAGGGCAGACACCCCACCACGAATCAGTGTTTCGGAGGCCTCAGATTGCCCAGGACAGGCCTGGGATGAAGAGCACCTCCGTTTTCGAGCGTAGTCGCCTCGCCTTCGGCCGATTCGACTATCCGTTGCGAGCGAATCCTCAGCGAATCCTCCACCTCCTCCTCCTCCTCCTCCTCCTCCTCCTCCTCCTCCTCCTCCTCCTCCTCCTCCTCCTCCTCCTCCTCCGCCCCCTCCTCGCCGGGCCTCGGGACCGTCAAAAAACGACTCAGGATGAAAAACCCGTCCTGGAAAATGAGTCGAGACTTCCGGGGACCCCGTAATGAAAAAACACGACATCGGATCTCTGGCTATCCTCCACCACCTCCGCCGCCTCCTCCTCCTCCTCCTCCTCCCCTTTTGTTTTTCCGGTTCCCCCCGCCGAAGATGTCCAGAACTATCCTCCACCACCTCCGCTGCCACCTCCTCTTCCTCCTCCTCATCCTCCTCCTCCTCCTCCTCCTCCTCCTCCTCCTCCTGCTCCCCTTTTGTTTTTTTTTGCGGTTCCCCCCGCCGAACATGTCTAGAACTATCGATCCGGGCACCCCCAGGACGCTCTCGGCGAGGCGCAGCTGCTGGAAAGCACCCCGACGTGGGAGGACCGGCAGGAAGGAATCGTCCGAAACGCCCAAAAACCTCGAAACCTCGGACGTTGAGGGCGTCGATGCGAAACTTCCTGAGCCCATCCCCCCCTGACGTTGCTCCTGACCTGCAGGCGCGCCCAGTGCCGGCTCGGGCTTGGTCGTCGCGCAACGCAGCACATTGTCGGCAGCGGGCGGAGGGGGGGGGGATACCTTCTCAGAAGGCGGCGGTGCTTCTCAGAAGCCACCCAGGGGACCCAGCCTTCTGAGAGTTTTCTGCGTCTTCGGGGAAAGATTTGGAAACTTCGCAAAGGCCGGGGAACTCTCACTTCCCTCCCGGGCTTGCCGCCGACCTTGGGATGGAAGCGCGCAGATCGGGGAACTACTGACCCGGGTCAATCCAAGCCTGGGACAATCAGGCCCTGCAGGATCCTGCAGGATCCTGCACCCAAGCCGGGGTCCGTGCACCCCTGGTTCTGCAGGATCCTGCAAGATCCGACGCTCTGGCTGACCCCCGTGTGCATGGACCCCCGTCCCCAAGGCACCCGTCCAGAGAGCAGCCAGCCGAGGCCAGGTCTACACAGCATCCTGCAGCCCCGAGTCGCTCTGGCCAGGCATGGGTGCGGGTGCGCAGAGTCAACCCGTAGAACAAGGGCGCGCCAGAAGGATGCAGGGGCCTTGGAAGGCCTTGTCGGCACTCTGCGAGCGGGGCGCGGCAGGCGAAAAAGGCAAAGGATGGGCCGAAGGGGAAGGATGCAAGGGCAAGCGTGGAAAATTGCCATCCTTTCCGTGCGGGTTGACCGTAGATGCCTTCTGCGGAAGAAGCTGGGGGAGGAGGACGAGCGCCAGTACCATGATGGGTCCAATGAGTCACGATCCTAAGTCCCGAACTGCTGGTTTCAGCCACCTGTAGGGCCGAACAGCGTTAGGCGGAGGAGGAAGCAGAGAATACTGGGGGGAGGCTCGCTAAGCATGCCGCCTCACATTCTTGGGCATGAAGTTGGTGGAGGCGCGTGGATCAACTGTGGACAACGTTTTGCTTCAGACGGCCCTAAGCTCTTCCACTGCTGGCAATGCTATGTACCAATGCCACGACTGATGCTGATACGGTTCCTGTGGCGACTATTAGTGCAGCGTGTGCCGCATACCTGCATGTGTATAGCTCGCGGCTGCTGTACTGCGACTCCTATGTTTACACATAGTTGTGCGACGGTACTACCACTACAACTGCCACTACCACTGCCATCACTACTCCCACGGGTGCGCCTCTTCTCATACAACTACGTATCACAACGACAAATGCTTCGACGGCTGCTACCACTACCACTGTTCTTCCACCACTGCTACCACCAGTGCGAATCCCATGGATTCAACTGAACTGGCAGGGAGACTGGGATCAGAAAAGTTGCGCGCGAAGCGCAACACAAGCAAGACGGGACGCATGAACTTTCCACCGCAAGCTGGCACGGACAGTAGACGCACATGAGACACCGAGTTGGTGAGCGCCGAGCTTTGCTGCTGCAGTCATCGACCATTGCCTTGTGTACTACCGTCGCAAGCGTCGTCCTGACCACTAAAACCATACCCCCACCACGCACAGCAGCCGCATCTGCCAAATACCGCATTCTCATCCTACTCGCCCTCGGCCTCCGCCTCGTCATCCTCCGCGCCATCCTCATCTGCCCTGCATTCAACGCACACGCGTGTTGCTCGGCGCGGCGCCGATTCTAAAAGCCCGCCTATTCGGAAGCTGGAGGTGCCGATGTTGTCGTCAAAGAATACCTAGGCTCGCAGCACAGGTCTACGGAAATGCCGGGTGGGAAGAGCAAATGGATGTTTTTGTGTTTGTCGCCGCCCGCGAGGCAGAGGCGGTACGCCCCAGCGTGTGGCTGTTCGGGCTAACCGAAAGGCGAAGTGTCCGGCGTGCACGAGGAAGGAAACAAGACGACGGCGGCCGCTCGGGGGAGGATTACCAGCCTGGAACATATCCCTATCCCTATGCTGGGCACCTCCTCATCACGATGCCAATCTTAGGGATTCCCTTATTGTTTGAGGGCGAATCCCTAAGATTGTCATCGCCTTTGGGCGTGTCGATCCTAGGGAAAGGGATACGTTCGAGGCTGGTAAGAGGAGGGGGAGGCGCAACAAATGAGTGGCACGCGCCGCACTCGTGCCCCGCCTGCCTGGGCCCTGGCTCCCGACACCTCGGGGACCGCTCGCTCGACCTGGAGCGCCCCATGCTCTCGGCGAGGCTCTCCCCGAGAGCTGTGGGCCTCGCACTGCGTGCCGGACGTCGCGCCGCGAGCTGCCCTCTGCGGGCCCCGCTCCGGGGCCCGACGACTCGAAGACTGGCCCACCGCCGCAGCAGCGCTGCGGTGAAAAAGCAACGTCGTGCGAGCCCCGGTCCTCCCCGTGCGAGCCAACGTCGTGGGCGTACCACGAGGTGCCCCTGGAGCAAAACGCTGCGGGGCTCTCCTGCAAAGTCCAAAGTAGTCGCTGGGGAGCATCCTGTGCCGGGGCCCCCTCGGGACCTCCGAGGGGGGGCCCGAAGGGCCCCAGATGCTTCAGGCCTCTGGCGGCCTCCTGGGGCTTCGGATGGGCCCCCTTGAGGTCCTGCTGGTGCCATCGAGGGCCATCTCAGGGGGGGAGAGCGCGAAATATCAGCTCGAGGTCCCCCTCTCTGGGCCTTCTTGGGTCCCTCTGATATTCGGCCCCCCTTGGGCCGTCCAGGGGCCCTCTTGGGCCATCTCGGGGCGATTATGGAAGCCGTTTGGGCCGTCCTGGAGAGCCGGAAACCGGAAAAGGTGAGAATCCTACAATCCTTCAATGATTTCGGCCTCTCGGGACCCTCTTGAGGAGCTTCTTGAAGCCCTCTTGGGGCCTAGTGTATTGGGCTGTCGCAGAGGCGGATCGGGCAATTTTCTCACGGCCGCCTTTGCCCGTCTGAGAAGACCTCGAAGAGGGCGCCACAACAGCCTAAGAGGACCCCAAGACAGCCCAAAACGCCTCAAAGACGGCCCCCAAGACGGCACCAAGAGCGTGCCCAGACGGGGGTCTCGAACGGACATTTCGAGCCCCTCGGCCCCGAGGGGCTCCCAGGAGGCCCCACGAGGTTCCCAAGAGGCCCCAAGCGGCCCTTTTTACTATTTTGGGGGTATTTTTTATTTTTCGTCGAAAATCCCCATGTAGGGGGACAGGCCCGACTTAACACTAGGTGCCCTCTAGAACTCCTAACGTACCCTTGCTCCCGCCCCGAGCAATTCCAAAGGATCCGTTCCAAAAGGCCCTCTCAACTGCTGCACATTGAGATAGCAGACAACATGTTCAGATTTGGCTGCCCGGGCATTCAGCCGAATCTTGCCCTGGAAAGCTGCAGAAAGCGTCAGGATGGCCCAAGAGGGCCCCGGAGAAATCACGGCCCCAAGAGAAACCCTCCTCCTTCCTCCTTCTCATTCGACAGCTGCGCGAAGGTATACATGGTTCACTAGAATCAGCTGCGCGTCGCGCGCGCATCGGTTCTAGATTCTAGCAGGCGACCGCCCCGCCCTCGGCACCGAAAGGGCACATAACAGCCAATCAGCAGGAGGCGCGTGCTCCGACCTCCAACGTCCAACAGTTCGAGTCTCAGGTCTCCCTCGGCGGTGGTGACGACGACAACGACGGCGAGAGACAGCAGGATGGCACAGAGAGCCGTGTTAGGGTGACGTTTTGGAAGCTTGTGGCGTGTTGGAGGCCTCTTTGGACACGGGGCGCTTCCTGGGTCCCCCTGTCGGCCTTCCTCGGGCCGTCGAGCAGCCAACCGTCGTGGGATGTCTCCGTGCCCTCGTGGCAACCATAAGGGCTCTTCCTGCGATCTTTGAGCCGGATTGGGCTTCTCTCGGGGCCTTTTCTCGGGGGCGTTGAGCATCAGTATGTTCGCTTGGACTCGGCAATTCGGAGCCTCTCGTGGGGCCTCCGTGTGAATCGCCTGGGGATGGTCTGGGACAGAGTCCGCCGATCCGGCGTGTGAGTTCAAAAGAGCGGGAGCTTGAGCTTCGCATGAGCTCCGCTCTGCTGGGGGGGGGGGGTCAGCGTTTTCGCCCCCCCCCGCCTCCCAGGGGGAAGGGTCAGCGCTTTCGCCCCCGCCTCCGCTCTGCAGGGGGGGGGTCAGCGCTGTCGCCCTCCCCTCCGTCCTGCTAGGGTTTGCATGGGGGGAGGGAGGGGTCAGCGCTTTTGCCTGCCCGGCCTCCGCTCTGCAGGGGGGGGATCAACGCTTTCGCCCCCGCCTACGCTCTGCAGGGGGGGGTCAGCGCTTTCGCCCCTCCCCTCCGCTCTGCTAGGGAGGGGGTGGGGGGTGCCAGCGCTTTTGCTCACGCCTCCGCTCTGCAGGGGGGGGGGGGTCAGCGTTTCCGGCCCTCCCCTCCTCCGCTCTGCTGGGGGGTGAACGGGTCAGCGCTTTCGCCCTCGCCTCCGCTCTGCACGGGGGGGGGGTCAGCGCTTTCGCCCCCACCTCCGCGCTGTAGGGGGGGAACGGGGTGGTCAGCGCATTCGCCCCCCCCCTCCGCTCTGCAGAGGTGGGGGTCGTTGGTCGTCGTCGTCGTCGTCGTCGACGACGCCGTCGCCATTGTCGTCGTCGTCGTCGTCGTCGCCGTTCGCGTCGTCGTCGTCGTCGTGGTCATCGTCGTCGTCCATGTCAACCGGCATCCGGAGCGCCCGGGATCGGTGGCACTGGCCGGAGGTCGCTACAATACTTAGGAGGGGAACGGATGAAGCTGCCACCGTGCGTAGGGTGTGGGTCAGAAATCTCTTGGGGTCTCCTGGAGAAGCTTCCGGAGAGCCTCCTGGAAGCAGTTTGATGGCCCGTGGAGCCTCTAAGGAGCCGTTTGCGGCCTCTTTGGGCTTCTTTTGGGCCTCCCAGACGCTTCTCGGAGCTTCTTGGGGGCATCTTGGGGGCCTGCTGGCAGTTTCGCGGACCTCCCTAGTCCTGCTGGGGCTCTCTTGGGGCCTTTTTAAACCTTGTTCGGGGACCTCTGGGGGGGGTCCTCTCGGAAGTACCTGCGGCAGTCCCGAGGCCGTCTCGGGGGCCGCTTGGGCCGTCTTGGCAAGAACGCCATCCGCCGTACCAGGAACTCTTCTTGTGAACAATGGATTGGCACTTAACTTCTTCATTCAGGGGAAGGTCCAGCATGACCCACGATCCTGCAGCAATTGCGAAGCTCGAAATTCAAATCGGAAGCGAAAAAACGGCAAACCTAACAACATGTTTAAAACTGTGTTTCTCTACACGTTGGGGCCCTCGGGGGACGTCCTGGCAAGGTTCCAGGGTGCCACAGAACATCTGTGTTGGGATTCGCCTGGCACAATCATGGGGTACCTTTACAATTTCGCGTGGGGTTATGGGAACTTTCTTGGGCTAACCTCCCCCTCCTGAACCATTGTGGAAACGGCTCCCATGAAGGCGCCCCCCCCCCCTAACGCACACAGGCGCCCGGAGACGAAGTGGATCACCAAACGGGGGGGGGACTTTGGGAAAGGTGGGCCGCCCCCTGGACCCGGGGACGCGATCGCCAGATACACTACGGCGGGTTCGTATCGTGCCGACCCCAGCGTTGGTTTTTGACACCGCGCTGGATCGTTCAACCTTGAACGATCGGCCGTTTGCGAAACGTCCAATCGTTCCACATCGATCGATTCTGGGTCGCCGGCGGCGTTCAACCTTGAACGCCCGCGCTGGGGTCGCCGCGGGTCGACACGACGCGAACCTACCGTACCCATGGGGCACCGACTTCCGCAAAACGCATGATGATGCACGTCCTGGTCGCCGCGAGCCGCCCGGGGATCTTTGCTGGACGGGCGGGTACAGATACTGGGGAGACGTAAGACCCGGGTACGGGGGACTCGGAAATCCCCGACGGGGTCGTCAAAAAGTGACGAGGCCGAGCCTGCATTTTGACGAGGCCTCCCGCTGCAGACATCCCACGAAACTCCTCCTCGTCAAAATCCGAGGCGCGGTCGTCAAAAAAAGATGGCGAACCCGAGTCCTGGCAAACCCGGGTCTTACGCTCCCCCGGTACAGATAGACGAACACGAAGGTGAGGATGCCGGGCTGGTCCGCCTTTTCCCCCTCTGCACCCCGACTGTACGTGAGTATGTTCAAACACCTCCAAGGTGATGAATTATGCGCTTCGGCTTGCCACCGAAAATGGTGATGCGAATGCGGAGGGCAGCTTCAGACAAAAGGGGTGAAAAAGGGAGGAACATACAAACCACTATGAGAAAAGGAAGGAGAGCAAAACGGTGGAGGACGAGGGCTGTGGACAAGGTTGTGCGTGAAGAGGCTGGCAGACGAAAGACAGGAGAAATACAAAAGAGGGGAAGGACGGGCGAATGGGGAGATAAGGAACTTAAAGAGGAAAGAAGAGGAGGAGGAGGAAGAGGAGGAGGAGGAGGAGGATATAGATGATGATGATAATGATGATGATGAGGAGGAAAAGGAGGAGGAGGAAGAGGACGAACAAAAGAGGAGGGGGAGGGGAGGGGGAAGGAGGGGGGAGCAGGAGTGGAGAAGGAAAGGAAGAGGGGAGAGGAAGACGAAAGAGGATGGCAGAGGGCAGAAAGGGCACAGAAGAGGACGAGGAGGGAGGAAAAGGGGGAGGGAGGAGGGGAGGGAGAGAGGGAGGAGGGGAGGGGGAGAAAACCAGAAAAGAGGGGAGGGAGGAGGGGAGGGAGGAGGGGAGGGAGGAGGGGAGGGGAGGAGGATGAGGAGGGAGGAGGGGAGGGAGAGAAAAAGAGAAAAAGAGAAACAGAGAGAGAGAGAGAGAGAGAGAAAGAGCGCACCAGAGCGGACCAGGCCTGGTCCAGGCCCCACATCGGATTGGGGCTGCGCCGCGGACGAAGCAAGGGCGGGGAGCTCGCCCCCCATGGGCGCGGTCACTATGACCCCGATTGGAAAGCAAAGCGAGTCTGAAGTGAAAAGGTCACTCAAGCGCCCGCCCGCGCACCCAAAAGAGAGAAACACACAACAACAAAACTGTGCGTGCAAGCGCGGGTTGGCATGCGCGCGTCTGTCTCAATGAAGCCGTTTTGGGGAATCCCCCGCAACGACCCAATGCTAGAGCCACGGAACAATTGCCAGCACCTGCCGCGGCGCACTCAGAGCATGGAAAGGCTCGCACTGGTGTGCGAGCGGTGAGCATCGAAGCGCTCCCGGTGGTTTGCCTGGGGAGAAGCCCCTCGGTGAGCAGGCGATCGGAAGGCATGGCGGAGTTCATTCCGGAAGATCTGTGCTCTTTGGATTACGTCAAAGGGGGCACTGGCAGTTCCTGTGCTACGCAAGAAACAAACAGGACGGGACCCACGCCGATGAAGCGTCACGCGGCGAGGACAGCCCCGCGATCGAAGCCGGCAGGCTGACTGGCAACCGCGAGACGCTGCGCGGGGAACTGCGTTGGAAACGTTCGGATGCCTTCGCTCTAGCTGGCGGCGCTGGGGCCGTGAGGCCCCGCGCCCTGGACGGGCGGGAAAGCGGCCTGATTGCAGAAGGCGCTGCGCTGAGGGCCTGGGTGGGCGCGCGGCAGCACTGCCCGGCCCGTCGGTTTGCGGCGGCGGAGCTGGCCCGCCCAGGGGGCCCAGTCAGCGACTCGTCGCCGACCCTGCGCGGATCTTCTCCCAGGCCGATAGCGCCCGGGGCGGGATCCTCGCGGCCGCCTGCCTCCACGGGCACCGTCGCTCGGTTCCGTCTGGGCCGCGGCGGATGCCAAGGAGGGGCGGCGGGGGGCGAGCTGCGTTCCGAATGGTCGAGCCCTCCTCGAACCTGCACGGTCGGGGCTGGGTCCCGGTAGCCCCCCGCCCCCAGGAGCGCCCCGCGCCGTCCCGTCGCGCTCTCGACGGCGCGGCGCACAACGCACCGCCGCTTCGCAATGCTCGACGCGACGAACCGCACCGCGTTCACCGCCGCAGTGCTCAGCGCGTCCACGCTCGCGTTACCGCGTCGACTCGCCGCGCTGCTCAATGTCGCGGGCGCGCGCGTCGTCTTACCCGCAGGCGTGAGGCTGCGGATGCTAGACCCCGTCGTCGCGAGGCAGCGGCGCTCGACTCCGTCGCGCTGCCCGGCGACGCGGAGTTGGCCCTGGACGCGCTGCTAAAAACTTGGTGGTCGCTGCGCTGCTTGTCGCACTCGTAGACGTCTGGCTGCCAATGCTGGGCGCCGTCGTCGAACTCTACACCGCCGCGGCGCTCAGCTCCGTCGCGCTGCACTGCGTCGAAGTGCGGGTCGCGTGCGCTATGCCAGAAGACGTGATAATCGACGGACTGGTCGTCTCACTCGTGGGCGCGAAGCCGCCGGCGACGTGGCCCGCCCTGATGCGCGACGTCGCGATGCTCGGTTGCTGGGCGCCCTGCCGTGCAACTGTCAGACGTCGCGATCGCTTCGCTGCTCGTCACGCTCGTAGACGCGAGGCCATTGGTGCTGGACCCCGTCGCATTGCTCAGCGCCGCAGTCCTCGGCTGCGACGAGCGCGCTGTCCACAGAAGTGGTATCCGGCGCGCGTCTCGCCCCGCTCCGCACGAAGTCGCCGTCGCTGAATCTGCGCGTCGCGTCGGCGCTCGACCCGGTCGGGCCGCGAGGCGTCGCGGCGCTGGCTCCGCAGCCAGCACGCGGACGCGCTGCTCGCAGCGTCGTCCATCGCTGTCGCGCGTGCGAGGCTGTTGGCGCCTGCGTCCGCGACCCCTGGCGGGCTTGCCGCGGCCCCCCTCGCGTTGCACATACTCGCGAATGCGAGAGCGTCGGTGCCAGCCCCCGTCGCGCAGTTCAACGCGGTGGCGTTGCGCGCCATCGCGCGGCTCAGTGCCGAGGCGCTGAGGGCGCAGGTGCAGCTGGAGACGCGGCAATCAGCGCGCCCCTGGTCGCGCTCGACGCGAGGCTGCCGACGATGGGCCCTGCAGCTCCGCGCGCCGAGGCGACGCTCAACTCCGGCGCCAGCAGCAGCCAAGGGGCGGGAGAAAGACCCCCTCGGAGGCCAGGCGAGTCTTGGAAGGGCCCCGACACCAGCCATTGCCACCCCGGGCGTCGACGAACATGTTGCCGCCCACCACCCCCAGACGATGAATGCTCCGCGAATCCCCGCCGCCTCGGGAAAGTACTCGATCATGACTTTGAAAGACGTCAGCGTCGAGAGACGCGCGAGCCCCCCTGGGCGGCGCACGGCGGGGCCGCGTGGGGGCGGCGCGGGAAACTCTCGAGTCCGAGACGCCGCTGTGCCCGATCCTCTGACAAGAGGTAGCAATGCACAAAACCGCCGACCTCCGAGCGGCCGTCGCGCAGCTACTGGCCCGCGCCGACAGGCCCCGCTGCGCCCGGGCCAAGCAGGCCGAGGCCAAACGGCGCCGCAGTCACGGGCGTGCCCCCGCAGCTGCGGGCGCCCAGGGCTCGTTGAAGGCACCTGGCAGGCGAGGTCAGCCCGCGGCTGCCCCCGCCTCTCCACGCCGGCGCGCGCATTCGCCCCGCCCAACACGCGCGCGAAGGGCCCGGGCCGAATGTGGCGGGCGACGTCCTGGCGCAGTTGCGCAGGTAGTCCCCGGCCCACTGAAGCAGCGGGCCACGTCCGCGCAACGCTTGGCGGCGAGCGACCGAGCCCCGGCACGGCGCTTGACCATCCGGCAGACGCTGCGCTCGACAGCCTCGGGCGGGCCGCCGAAGCACTCAGCGCGAAGCG